TGATCACAAAGAAACTCAGAGAAAACATGTACACAGATCTAAAATGCAGATTTCAAAGAACTGGGGGAAACTGCACAGAACCATTACTAACCATGAGAAAACAGCTCACTTAGTCAATGCACTTTCCATTTCCATTGACAGTTTGAATGAACAAGAAACAGTAACTGAACCTTCTGTTAACATATATTAAAATGTGGCTTTTCTGGCATCCACTAAAGCTTGGGATAAGAAGATAAAGCCTTGTGCACGTTAGAATGCACTGTTAACATGTCTCTTTAAAGTTTGGCATTAAGGATGTGCACAAAGCAGAAAGATGGCCTGAAAGAGAGGCTAGGTCAACTGAAGATTGCAACAGCTTGTGAGTGGGAGTAAGACACAGGCAGTCACCATTTCAGAACTGAGCAAAACCACCCAACCGCCAGCATGTCACATAAAACACGGAAACCAATATGCATAATAGTCCTCGCATCTGGACTGAGACAACCCCAAAATGAATGAAAAAGTGAATGGGCAAGATGTTACCTGCTCTACATCCTTTTTTGAGCCAGTTTTTTATGCATAGGATCAGCATGTCAGTTACTTAAACAAAAAAAACTAATCCTTAAGATTTTCAGTACATACAGAACGGTGATAGCACATGTCTGAACAAAGAGGCCTTCCATTCAAGAAAAATGTGTTTAGAATTAAGGAGGTAGGCAGCTAGGGGTGAAGAGCGGTCAGTTAGTGAATCATCTCCTTTTCCCAGTATCCCACTACTGCTTAAAAAAATGTCTCCCCCAAAGCAATGAATGACTAATTTCTACCCGAACACTTTTCCCTCATTCCTATGTGAACATGAACAATTCCTTCCACAATCTGCATATTCTTGTTCTTTAGAGGAGGGGTATAAATGATTTTAAACACACTCAAATCCCAATTTGACAAGAACCATTTTCTCCTTTAAGTTTTTTTTAGTTTGTTTGTTGTAAATTCAGGATGTTGCAACAACAGCCCCCCACCCCATTCCTCTAGTCCTGGAGTCAGTATTTAACATACAGAAAAACATCACCATGCTTGTAAAATACCTCATCTGCTACAACAAATATAAAGTGTGGCCTTCCTGAGACAGCAACTACTGCCATTCTTGTTGGAAGGAATTATAATCCAAGAACATCTGGAGGATAATGCTATTTCCCACCATTGCTCTAAACCAAGGGAGGGTAACTTTGAAAGTTCACGGCAGACAATCTTATGCCCCTGAAGACCTCGGGGTGGGGTGGGGGGCACACAAGCCATCAAAAATTAAAAAGAGAGAGGGGGAGGGGGAGGGAGAGGAAGAAAAAGAAAAGAAACCAAAGTGGCTTGAAATTTACCTGCAATTTTGGGTGGAAATTTTATATTGGTGGTGGGGAGGATCTGCAATCTATTTAAAAGGTGAATCACAGTTCCTAGAGTGTTACAGAAGAAGCTATTTGCCTTTTTTTATTGGAAAAGTGGGCTCAAGATAGCGCTTTGGGGCATTAAAACTGCCTCAGCAGCTGCACACAACCTTGGGGCTGCACTTTACCAACGCCAGCTCTGAAAACAATTGCTCAAGTCTCTCTGCTATCTTTGCAAGTAGAGATACAGGCAACAACCTCCTGTGGTTCTATTAAATGGCCATGCTACGTATCTGGAGACAGGTAACTGTTCTTATACCAAGCCCCTGGCTGCCAAAAATGTAATAAGCCAAACTTCATCTATGGTTGATCCCACCCTACTGCAAACAATGACCACAATTCTATGACATAGGGACACCGGTGGAAAGAAAATGGCATGAACAATAGCTAACTAACAGCCCTGCTTGGACTCTTGCCTCCATGCCAAGCTGCCCTATTGGCAATGAGGAATTCAAGTGGGGAACATTAATTAATGGCAATTTGCCTCTGCAAGTTATAGCACTTCCTTTCTGCTACACAACAGGATTTTGGCTAATGCCTTAAAAATAACTTTCATATCGAAAGAGGCAATTATAACAAAGCAGTTGGCTATGGAAAAGAGAAAAGTGGCTTATACACTGATAACAATACTGAATTATTCTTGAAAAAAAGCTGCATTGGATCTCACAAACTGGGCATCCGAGTCAAACCATACAAGGCCTTTTGGATTTAATTAGGCATTGTGGAGTCCTAGTTATCTGTCTGACTTGTAAGAAGACAGATGTTAAGATACAGAACGTTAAGATACCAGGGCCAAATCTGGACAGAACACAGTTATACAATTAAGAACACAACACCCAGGGCACAGTTCTACAATTCAAGTTCAAATACCCATTGTACCCCAAACCCATATGCCAAAAAGGAAGAGTCAGAGACAAAGCTCTCCATTGCAGTTAAGCTACTCAACCACGAGCTGGGAGAAAAGCTACAAAACAGATTGCAAGGCAATGTTTGAAATACAGCATCCAAAATTTGCCTCTGCTTGTCTGGTAAATCAACATATTAGAGAACACTTCACTATTCCAACCTATGTAGTCCAAAAGGTAAGTTCAAAGGGCTCTCCAAAACATGCAGGGTTGCTTATCATTTACCAGACCTACTCAGCCAACACAAGGAAAACCGTCCTGACTTGACCGGGCTCTGAGTGACTGATGGGCAGTTCATCTCCAAAAGGGCACCAGATACTGCCTACCTCCATGCCTGACACTCTTCCCAGAGAGGTTTAGGCAAGGGGGAGGAAGGAATGTGAAATATGGTTAAATACTGCAACATCTACTGTTTTCCAGAGGGACACATTCAGCAGGAAATGCTTTCTTCATAGACCTATGCAGGAAAAATGTGAAGCATGAAGCAGTACCTTTCCACAGCAATATTCTACCAGCCACTTAATAAAGACACCGGAAGAAACAAATCCACTTTTTGTTTCTAATGGTCAGTGCAAACTTCTTCATGCAAGAAACACCATCCAATTCCCAGCAAAGCAAATCTGCAAGTCCTGCCTTTCTTTCTAGTCCTCCCAATTGTGCTCATATTCTGATCCACCATATGCTGAAAATGAACTTGAACACAAATAGCCTGAAGGCCAAACTGTACATTAGAGAGAATTCTAGAGATAGCCAATCATTAATTATGCTGAAATCATGTCAGGGTTCAAGAGATGGGACAGAGATAGTCTTTCACATCTGATGGCCAAACTAGGTAATAAAAATATCATTAAAGAAGAAAAGACTGTCTCTTTATTCTAACATGACTTTGCTTCAATCTGTGTTTGGCAGACCAGAGTTCCCTGTCTCGTGGAGATCGTGTTTCACATGTAGAGACTCCTCTCTTCTACAAATTTATCTCTTCACACTTGACAACTATGACAGAAGGTTTATGTTAGTTTCCCTCTGTTCATGGATTCGGATTAATCCTTTTAGTGCACGCCTGAATAGTGCTATACTCACATCAATCCTACGGCTTTGAAGTGAACTTTATTCCCAGCAAAAGTCTAGCAACACCATGAAGACCTGCATTTTTACATTATTATTATTATTACAATATATAGTACTCAGTTGTGGAGCAAGAAGTTAAACATGTGATGGCCCTCTGATACAAGGCAGATTTAGACACCCAATGTCCTGGTAATTTGTCTCCAGTTCTAGAATGATGAAAATATTTTCAAGCTTAAGCTTTGTAATATTAGTCTTAGTAATTAGTAATTAGTAATACTCAAGTAAATTCTAGTACACAGAATAGTTTTACTTTAGTTTTACTCAAGTAAAAATGAGTACACGACACATGTTTTAATAGGTCTGAATATATTTTGACAAAGTAGAGAAAAACTGATTAAATGTTACTGGTCTGTTGCAGATGCCACAGCATTGCTCAGCCTATTCCTATATGAATATTTTCAGATGAATCTTGGGGCTCATGTACATCTCTCTCCTCTTTCACAACAGATACAAGACACACATCCTTCCCATTTAAAATCAATTAGAATTTATCATCATATCTCACCTGGGGAAAAGTCTGATTTATTTAAGTCATTTCCTCCAGATGTTTTGGCCTACCAGCCCCAGACAACATGGCTACTGGTCACTGATGATGGAAGCTATAGAACAAAAACATGTGGAAACACCACATTGGAGAATGCTGCTTTGAACTACGTCTTGGATCAGGCACTGGCTGAAATCCTTTTACTTAGTGTAGGAAGTCACAACTATAATCCTTTTGAATCAATGGAACCTACACTGGAGTTCACTCACCAAATGCCCACTGATTCAGTAGGGCTCCTCTAGATCAATTTACTAAGCCAACCAACAGGATCTCTGCTATTGGTTTACAATCCAGTCTTGTCAGCAGGCCATAGAGTAAACTAGAGTTTCACCAGTTTGGAATTAACAGTAAATTCCTGCAAGAAGTGGAATTCCTATGCAAGAGAAAATGAGCGGGTGAGGAGACCGAGCCAGTTGCTGTTTGTTAAAGTAATGCCAGAGTATGATTTAGGATTGCATCTAAAACTGATTACTGATGAGCAGACAAAAATTCTCAGCCTCCAAAATGACACACATCACAAGACATCCAAAAAAGGTCAGCCACCATGAAATGCAGAATGTTGCACAAGAAGCAATTTTGCTGAATTAATTTTCAAAACAAAGCTTCATTTTAGTATGGTATAATAATACAGCAGACATAGCAAATGAGAAATGTTAAGATAATAAATTTTGCAGCAAGAATAGTAAAAAGATCTTTCACTCTAAATAAACAAGGAGTCTCTGGAACAAAACCGGGGGGAAATCAGGTTGGTTTTTTTAAAGGTCTTTGAAAGATTTAACAATAGTCAAAGGAATCACAAGTAAATATATATAGTGTATTCATGTAGGAAACCCCTCTATGCAATAAATAGGCCTAAACTTGTAAGTAGCTAGAATGGGCTTCAGGTGGATACTACTGGGCTGGTGTCTGTCTACGCTCAACAGTGCCTCATTCTCAAACTATCTGACTCTGTGAGAGGCTATTTTGATCTGAAATAATTAAAATACCACATTAAAATAATCTTACCCATAGTTTGCTGTCATAATAAAAGGCTCCTAGCAGCTTAACAATGTAGGGGTGATCACAAGTTGCAAGGATTTCGATTTCCACCATGTAGTCCTCCAGTTCATCTTCATTCTTGGTCTCAATGACTTTGGCAGCAGCTAAAGCACCTGTCTCTTTGTTTTTGGCCTGTAACATAAATGCAAAAGAATCATCAGTGACAAAAAAAAGAACAAAGCAGACAGCTTCTTCAGAATGATAGTTGCATAATTGTGCAGAGTTCTGTTCCTTTATAGCCAGCAAAATAATTTATTTAGTAGAGGTAATAGTTGTGCCCCAAGCATGCAGCCATGATAAGATTCACTCAAGATCGCTATGATGTACTCATTTGTGTTATAAAATAAAACGAAATACAGTAGTGTTATAAAATGTTCAAATGCCATAGCAAAGGTGAATGTTACCAACACCCTCCAGGTTGTGGGATTACAACTTTCAACATCCCCAGCATGATGGCTGACCATGATGGCTGGGAATAAAGGGAGCTTCAAGCTATAAGATCTGAAAGGTGCCATGTTGGGGAAGGTCAGGAACAGCCCAGGCTCTCCTTGAGGGTAGGATTTGTTTTTGCTCTAAAAAGACCTCCTGTGCTCTCTGTGAGTGATTTATTTTGTCATGTTTTGAGAGATACCCAGCACCTCATGGCTCCCTATGCTTCCTCCAAAAGGGGGGGGGGAATTCTATAGGCTGCATTTTCCAGTTAACAAAGCCATTTTAACATTATACAAATTTTTAAATTTAATACAAATCTCCTGTAACAACCTTACAGAACTCCTCATGAATGATAATGGCAATGATACATTAAGCCACACCCCTCTCCCTTCAGCCCTCTTGGAAGTGAGGTCCATGGGCTACTGGCAAATCTGACAAATGGACTTTGACTCCACTGAGACTCTCCAACCCCCCCATGCTACGTATTGGCAGAATTTGCAGCAGACTGTATGTGGGGTCCCTTCATTTGCCCACCTGTTCGCCCTTCTTAAGCGACGCTCAGACAGTCACAAACAAGAGAGTGACCTTAAACAAAGATCTCAGACTGCTTAGATTAATGCTGTTAATCCAAATAGAGAGAAAACACTTGAACTGGCATGTTTAGTACAAGATTTCACATGATGAAAAAAGGCACATTCATACATGAACACAAAGCTAGAAAGCTAAGACTAGAAAAAGCTCTATGATGTAACCTTGACCGCTCTATGTAAATATGACGCCATACCATACATTCCAGATCATTATCTAGTGATCTGTACACTGTAAACTCTCTGGGTACAGCATTTCAGCCTGTCTCTTTGCTTCTTCATTGCCTCTTCAAACAGCATATGGCACCATGCACTCACATAAGGTGACAAGCGGTGGGTGTATATATGTGTGTGGCGTGCCTCTGGGAAGAACTCTGGTGGCCTGTTTTCATCAACATTATTGCCTTCTCTTTTTAGGTTTCTTTTCAGAATTTTTGTGCAGAGAGTTTATAAAGAGATCTATTCCCAGTGTAAACACTCAAGGTGCACTTGAATCAACCACAGCTGCTATTGCACACTCCAAAAGCCAGCACAGTCAGGATGGATAGTGCTTTGGAGACAAAGGCTGAGTGTGCATATATTTCCGCTAACTTGTTCTTTTCCAGGAGAAAAGGAGAGACAGCACATATTCTTCCTTCTTTCCTTCTCCTTCTGCCATCTTCTTACATAGCAGTTGACGAGTGCAAGGGGTACTAGCAAACGTAAGGAGAAGCACTTTGAAACACTCCACCCTGCTCTGTAAAACTTGGCACACAACAGCCTCATTTTATCTTCAGGAGAACTTCTACGTTTGTTGTATTTCCCCCCCCTAGGGTAGGGACAGCTGGCGCAGGAAAACTCCAGCCAGTAACCGTCACATGGCAAATTGGTTGCCTCCTTACCACTCTTGCCACCTGTCGGCCCCTTCTAGGCCAAATGATCTATTCTAGAGGAAACAGGCACTTTTTGATGCCAGTTTAAATGTTATGAAAAACTTACAGAGAAAAACGCGCGCCCCCCCGCCCCTGTAATAACAAGAATTTCACATAAAGCACCACAAAGGATCTGAGAACTGATCACAGGCTGCCACCCAAGATGGACAGGACCAAAATGTACACTCATTTTTTCTGGGTTGTAAGTTGGGACAACAGCAAGGATGAGAATAATCCACTGTCCACCTGAAACAGGTGTCCCAGTTGATGTTGCTTCCGCAAAATAGCACCAAGGAGGAAACAGAAATGAGCAGTAGGGAAAAGGTAACAGTGGGTTGTGAATGTGCTTAACTTTGCCCCTCGAACCAGCTGCTTCCCTACTCCTCTGTAGAAAGCCTAGGTTAAAACTTCAACCATTACCTGCCCCCTCCTGCCTTTCAAGGAGAGTTAATACAGATGGGGAATAGAAAGTTGGCATCAGATATGCAAACAGCTTGTACTTACAAGCAAGGTTTCCTGTAAGCTGGGCACACATGCACATGTGCATGCCTCTGCTTCCCCCCATGGAGCTGTCTTCCCCCTCCACGCAGCGACCATGTTAGGTTCCAGTCACGATGGAACCCTCCTCGGGGGGGGTGTGTGCATAAGCACAGGAGCAAAGTTGCACACTTACGGGAGGCGACACCCCGCCCAGTGGAGCTAAAAGTTAGGGGGTACATTGCTTACAAACCTAATGAACTGCACAACATAAAGACTTTTATCTACGTATACCACTCATATACTTTTCAATTATCTAATTTACAGTGTGTAAAGAAAACTACTGAGGAACAGCTACTTTAGAATAGCTTCTCAGTTGGACAATATTAAGGAAAAGGACAAGGGATAGAACAAGAAACATGGGAAGTAAACATGTTACAGAGGACAATGGCATCAGTAACAGGTTCCAGCCCATTTTGAACCTAAGCGGGATTAAGAAAGCTGTTTCTGTCCCATTTTCTGAAACCAAGCCTGAAAGGCGGGATGTAGAAAGATTTACAAATGGTTTCGTTTCTCATGGGTTGTCAAATCGCATCCAATTTACTGTGACCCTCACGGTTTTCAAGGTATGTGAGAAATTTAAAGAGTGGTTTTACTGCGCTTATCAAAGTACGCTGTCATTTCTGATAAGTTTTATAAAAAGGTCAATAATATTTTGTTACCTTCCAAGTTAACTATCAGATGCTCGTTACTTCTATCTGGGATACAAAATATGATAGACAATAAACAGAGAAGAGTTCCAGCAGGTAACTGTGTCATTACCAGACTTTTTACAAAACCAAGGTCTAGGTCAGAGATGTGGAAGGTTACTTATTTGAACTGTAAGTCCCAGAATACCCAAAGCGAAGCTGCAGTAGTCAAGAAGGTAAGTTTCCCCATTTCTCTCTTAGAACTATCAAGGAGTGTACATGTGAGCGCAGACCTGGTCAGGATTCTGAATGTTAGCCAGGTAGCCATACAATCCTGCAGGCTATTTCTATTTCCACTGCTCTTGACCTTCCTCCTTCCTGTATTTCACACTCTGCCAGCATTCTGTGCCCACTGAACAAGTTTGTTCCTTATTGGGCTGGTGGGGATGGGAGTTGCCTCGTTAAGAATTTAGTTCAGTTCTAAAGATGTTATATTTTCCTGACCCTAGTTTCACCCAGAGTTTGGGACAGTTATTTTATGGTGTGGGTGGGATTTCTGAACTAGAGTCTACAAACACGTAACATTTTGTCTACATAAGGACCCAGACTGAGAGAATGAATTTGTTATTCACATATAGCATAAAAATAACAGCCATACATTAACAGCCCACGGAGGGAGCCTGAAGGCGGCGGCTGAGGGTGGGGCAGTGCACCACAAATCGCTAAAAGGAAGTGCAGCTGCTACCCAGCCACCCTCCGCTGACATTCTTCCACGAACGGTTATTAACAGAGTTTCACTTACAAGGAACTAGGAGCCCCCTTGCGTGAGCTCTGCCTTTCCTTCCACAGTGGTTTACACAGCTTGTTTCTAAGAGGAACACCGCTAGAAAAAGATTTCTTTTTGATGTAGCTTGCTGGAAGTCACCCACATGTAGACTTACAGTTGCACTGAAATAATCTCAGAAACTACCAAAAGAAGCATAAACTGCCTTGGTAGAAAGAAATCACCAACAGTCAAGAAGCAGACTCCATTCCCTTGCCACTTTAGTTTTCGTATCCGTTTCTCTTTAAAGGTATTTTGCCTGGCGAGTTTACCCTGGCTTGTTGATCTTGCATGTTTTATTTGGCCACTACAGCTACAAGTCAGTTTGATTCAGCAATTAAGATGTTGGACTGGGATGTGACAATATTGTTTTCAGCTCAAGAAGCTTATAGATGGTCTGATCTTCCCCCACTGTTATTCACTTTGCATCCACCAACTGCCTCCAAATTTTCACATGCAAACTCTCTCTTATGCACAGGTATCTTTCCTGCAAGTCACAAAATCTGGAGCCTTTCCAAGGATGTAAATGTACGCAAAGCCCCCAGGTACTTGAGCTAAGTTCATGGGTAGTAAAAATAATCTTCCTGCATTTGAATGACAGGAAAAGCTTCAGAACTACAGTCACACACTTGACTTTAATCTACAGCATGGGTGCTACTGCTCTTTTGGCTGCTTTTCTCTTTTGTTGTAAGCACTCCCAGCAAGCATTCAAATAATGCAGTGATTCAGATTCCAAAGACACAAAAAAACCCTGAAAGAAAAACAAGGGAAAAAGCCATTCACACCTTGCCCAAATTCTCCTTTTCCATTCCCATGTCCCCTCCCCCAGACTGCTTGCAGGGGACACAATGATATATCTGACACAAGGAGAGGAAGTTACAAAAGCACGCTTCACCGGAAACCAGCATGGAAGCAGCCAGCTTTCTGAGCCAGTAGCTGGAGCAGCCTTGCTGTTCCCATTTCAGAGGAAGCGAAACAATGACTCGAGAAAACAAACATATATTTAGAACCCTGAGCTACTTTGTTGGATGACAGAAATACTCCCCCGCTCACCGCATCCCCATGACCTCTTGGTACCTAACACTAGATACTTGGAGCCAAAAAACAAAACAAAAAAGCCTCACCAAGGAAGGCCAGTGCAAGGGGAAAATCAGTAATCAGGGAATTCGTTCATCCTTAAGGGAGTAACACTGAACTCTTGGATTTGCCCCAT